AGGGGGAGGGGGAGACAGGTGCACTTCTCGGGCCCTAGAAAAGGCTGGGCCCCTTCTCTGCAACCCTCGCTGCCCCTCCCATGTCTCGCCCCTCCAATGCGCAACGCCCAAGCCCCGCTTTTTGCGCACCGCCCGGGGCACATTGCCGACCCCGAGAATCCTCACCCAGAGCGCGGCGGATCCACGGTCGGGGCCGCCCCGCCCAGGAAAAGCGTGAGGATTCGGAGGCCCATCGCCGATAGATCGGCGATGTATTGCCGATTCCATGCCGACGTTTTCCCCCTCCTGCGTCGGGCGCCCCCGCGTAATCCTCGTCGTCTGGTTTTCAAGCCATGGCTCGTGTCTCCAGCAGCCGTTCGGCACGATCCGAGCATCCCCGGAAAGCTCTCGGCGAGGCGGAGCTGCTGGAGAGCACCCCGAGGCTGGAAGACCGCCGAGAACCGACGAAAACGCACGAAAACTCAGCTTGAACCTGGCCCCTCTGAGTCTACCGTTCCCCTTTACAGGGCCCGTCCCAATGAATTTCCCGAGCGCGCGCCCGTCCTGTGGCGGCGAGAACATGCAAGAACGCCCAAGATACCTCCGAGTCGTCGTCGTCGCCGTCGCCGTCGCCGTCGCCGTCGCCGTCGCCGTCGTCGTCGTCGTCGTCGTCGTCGTCGTCGTCGTCGTCGTCGTCGTCGTCGTCGTCGTCGTCGTCGTCGTCGTCGTCGTCGTCGTCGTCGTCGTCGGCGTCGTCGTTCGTCGTCGTCCGCGGAGCAGGCCCGCGAGACCGACGGAAACGTCGAAAAAGCTCTACCTCAAGGCCTCGGCCAAAGGTGCCCTGGCGAGCCCAGGGTCATGTTCCCAATCGAGCACTCAGGAACCCTCTGCCAACGTTCCTGCGGCCAAAGGTGGGCCCACCCTCCTCTCCTCCTCCTCCTCCACCATCTCCTCTCATCCTCATCCCCTCCATTCTCTCCCCCTCTCCTCCTCCTCCTCCTCCTCCTCCTCCTCCTCGCCTCTCCTCCCCTCCTCCTCTCTTCCTCCCCCTCCTCCCCCTAATCCCCCTCCTCCTCCTCCTCCTCCTCCTCCTCCTCCTCCTCCTCCTCCTCCTCCACCTCCTCCTCCCCACCCCTCCCTCGAACTCCTTGGCCGCCAGGGCCATTGGGGGAGAGCGGCGTGGCGCTCCTGCAGCGCGCCGCGCAGCGCAGACGCGGAGGCCCAGCAGCAGGGCCGGTTGGATGCGGCGCGGGCACCTTCGGCAGGGCTCTGGGGGGGGACGGGGCTGGTGGCAACGGACGAGGGCCCTGACGTGCTCGCGTCGTTTCCTCCTCCTCCGCCTCCTCCTCCTCCTCCTCCATCTCCCTCTCCTCCTGCTCCCCTCCTCCTCCTCCTCCTCCTCCGCCTGTCCTCGTCTCCTCCTACTCATCCTCCTCCTCTCCTACTCCTCCTCCTCTCCTCCTCCTCATTCCTCCTCCTCCCCTCCTCCTCCTCCTCCGCCTCCACCCTCATCCTCTCTCCTCCTCCTCATCCTCCCCTCCTCCTCCTCTTCCTCCTTCCCCCCCTCCTCCTCTCTCCTCCTCCTCCTCCTCCTCCTCTCCCCTCCTCCTCCTCCTCCCCTCCCCTCCTCCTCCTCCTCCTCCTCCTCCTCCTCCTCCTCCTCCTCCCCCTCCTACTCCCCGTCCTGTGGATTAGCTCCCTGTGATGGGTCCACCTCTTTATTTAGGTGAGCTCCCTGTGCTGGGTCCACCTTTTTATTGAATCGCTTCGCTCATTCCGCCGGCCCGTGATATGGCATCGCTGGTTTTTGTCTGTGTGTTCGTTGCCCATGTTGCGCTCTTGGGGGCGGGTGTCGTTCGGACGCGTTGCGTGGGGAGTTTTGATGGTGAAGCAGTTCCCTGGGGGTCGTCTCTCGATGGGGCGAAATAGAGTCGTCGTCAAGATGCTTCTTTGGGGGGCCTCTTGGGGTCTGTTGAGAGGCCGTTCGGGGGCGCCTGGGAGACATGTTTGAAGCCTTCTGGGGCTTCTTTTGGGCCTCCTGGGAGTCTCCTGGGGCCTCTTGGCGACATCTTGGGGCCTCTTGGAGGCCTCTTGGGGCCTCTTTGGGACCTCCTGGGCGCCTTCTGGGACGGAGGGCTCCATTTTTGAGTTCTCGGTATCCCTCCTGAATCCCTCTTGGGCCCGTCTTGGGGCCTCTTGGTCCGTCTTGGGCGGCACTTGGGCCGTCTTGAGGGCTCTCTTGGGTCGTTTCGGCGCCGTCTTGGGAGCTTCGTGGGCCGTCTTGGAGCGGTCTTGGGGGCCTCTTGGGCCGTCTTGGAGCGTCCGGAAGCCGAAAAAGCCAGAACACAAAAAACATCGAAAAAACCAATGAAAATCAACGATTTTGGCCTCTTGGGGCTCTCTTCGGAGGCCTCTTGGAAGGCTCTTGGGGCGTCTTGGAGGCCTCTTGGGCTGTCTTGGGGGCCTTTTGGGCCGTCTTGGGGTCATCTTCGGCGTCTTCGAGCGCTCTTTGGGCGTCTCGGGGGCCTCTTGGGCAGTCTTGGGGGCCTCTTGGGGCACTCTGAGCGCGCTCTGGGGAGCCTGAGAGGCCGCACCCAGAAGGAAAACCATCTCTGAGTAGACTTGGTCGGGCGGCGGTCGGGCGTTGGTCGGGGTACTTTTCGCCGGGGGACCCCCAGGGGCCGCCCCGCGCGCGCGAACTAGAAATACTGTTAATACTGTTAACCAGTTACCGGAGATCTTAGCACGCCCTGGCCCGTTGGGCCGGCGAATTTAAGTGATCTCAGACACCGTCTCTTTCTTCGTCGTTAAAGATATGAAGGTTGTTTTTGGTCCTGTGGATGGTTCCCAAGACATCGTAGGTCGCCAAGATATCTGAAACAATCTGAAATACTCTGAACGGGAGGGAAAGATAGCAGACACCTTTTCAGTACATGACAAGCTGCACTCCTGGAGAGGGGGTCGACGGACCCCCTTCCCCTTGAACCCAAACGGTTAAGCAAAAGGGGTCTCGGGTTCTTAGTTAAGCACACATAGCACTTGAAAGCGCTCCCTGCGCTTTCAGATTCACACTGGTCGTAGTCCACTGCTTAGAACCCGATGAAGTCCTCGCATCTCCATGCACATGCACGGCCCTGTCGGTGGTCTGGGCCTGGTATACCTCCTGGGCCTCTCGGATCCACCGATAGGCCTCGGGCTCGTAGTTGAGGTCGTCATCCTCGTAGTCGTGCTTGAGGCTACCCGTGCAGTCCATATCGCACAGGTCCAGTCCAGAAAAAAAAAACACTCCACAGAATAGGCATAAGTAGGGTTGCCCTTCTTCTTCCTCATCTGTCGCTCTTGTTCCCGTCGGCGTAGCACGATGCTGTCCGCAGTGATACCGTACTCGCCCAACCCCAGGGCATGTCGAAGTAACGTACTCTCGCCCTTGCGCTTGGTGAGCGGGTCGGTCAGCTGACTTGTACCTTCGATCCATCGTAGATGAACTTGAGGTCGCTGCATCGCTGAGCGCACGATGGCCACGTCGATTGCTGCCCTATTGTCCTCCGCCAGTCCCGCCTTCGGACTGGCAACGTGATCGTAACCGCCTCTGGAGCCGGTCACACTGATGACGGGGGAACAACCAGCGAGTAGGTAGGGACGCATCAGATCGAACTCAGAGCCGACGATCTCCAGCAGCATGGTCCTGGTGAACTCCGCCATAGCCATGCCCTCCGATGTGGCCAGCGTCTCCGCACCAAACTGGTGAGCACATTTCCTCTTCAATTTGTGACTCTTCCAAGATTGGATGGAGATGGTGGCCGCTTCGCCCTTCAAGATCTTACGCCGCGTAGCGAACACGATGTATCCTGCTTGTGATGCTCCATCCCGTGCATTGGCCCAGGCCGCGTCATTGAAAGCAGCGAAGGCCAGCTCGTGAAAAGGTATGTGTCGTACCTTGAGTGCTACGTCGCAAAACTCCTTGGCCCTGCGGCCGATACGATTTGCTTCCAGCAAGTCGTCCACAGTGAGATTCGGCATTTTTCCCTGCAAGAGAGAGACAGGACCCGAGAGGTCGGGGCGACTCTCCCGCGCCAGGAAGGAGATGGAGCCGCGCAGGCTCCGTGACTGATGCAGCTCTGCTGGCGTCGCTGGTGGCTGAGGCGTATTGCGCCTCTCTGTGGCGATGTCGATAAGTTGAATATTAACGGAGCTCTGGCGTTGAGAGATGGTGATCTCCGTGTTGTCGTCGTTCTGGTCGAGCTCCTTGCCTGTGTACTTCCCCTTCTTGAGACGCCAGGCCCCGAATGGGGAACTTCTGACGCAACTTCTTGTAGGCCTCATCGAACTTCTGGTCGCCGCCGCCCACGATGTCGTCCACCGCAAGGCCCATGACGCCGCGCAAGCCCTCCTCGTCCCTGAGGTAGAAGACGCAGCCGTCAAAGATGGAGCACTGAGAACCGATTTCTTTGGCATAACTTGTGAAAGAGGCCAGCCATTGGACGGGAACGTCTCCGAGTCCATATACTGCCTTGAGTAACTCCACCAACGAACCCGTTTCCACGTCTGGTATACCCGTCCGTGGTAGTTCCACAAAGAGCCTGCCCTGAGACCTGTCCAGTGGGTCTCCTGCTGTGAAGGCCGACGTGATGTCTGCAAGCTGCAGCGTCCACTTATTGGTGCACAAGATCTGCAGGATGAGGAAAACCGAATCCTTACCCACGACTGGGCTGTAGGTCTCCAGCTCCAGCAGGTCAGGGTCGGTGTGTCCCTGGACGGTCCATCGCGCCTTGGCCATCCTCCAGTCGTTGCCATTCATGAAGAGCAAAGGCTTCTTGCTCGCGTCGGTCTCGTTGGGGTCGCCGTCCCTGTCCGTAAGGACCCACCTGGAGCCCGTGATCCGAGTGGTCAATGCAGGATCCTGTCGAACTCGTTCTGCCTCTTCTGGAGGGAGAACCCGTACTGCACCCGCCTACTGTATGTTGCCCCACTCCCTGCGCTTGGCTGAGATGTACGGCTGGTACTTGTAGGTGTTCACAAGAGACTTCTCCGTGACCTTCTTGCGTCCTCGTTGAGCTGCACTGGTCAACAGAGCGCCGGTGGCGCCCTGAACTTTTCCCCTCCGCTTTTTCTTGGGGGGAGCCTGCTGGTCCTTCTGAATATTCTCCTCGATGGTCGCGATACGTTGTGCCACCGGTATCGCCGCGTCAGGGTTAACTAGAGCCTGCTTGATGGTGATCGGTACATCGTCGAGGTGATCGTAGTACTGCGTTTCCATGGGGATGGGATCTGACTTCACATCGGAGGAGTGCTCGATCTCCACCGTCGGTGGCTCCAGGGAGACCGCTGGTTGATCATCCCCTGCTGGCTCTGGAGGTGCTGTCTGAGGTACGTCGTCCTGGTCCTCCTCAGCTGGTGAGGGCTGCTTGGTCAGGTCCTCGTACTTGCGCCTTCCGCAGTTCTCGGTGCTCACTTCCTCCTTCATCGTGTGGTCGATCTGCTCACAGGCGGATGTCTCCCCCTCATTGGCGTGTCGAAGCTGTTCTGGTGAGCATTCCAGTAGTCCACCCTGGTACGAGCACCGCGCCGTGCTTGGCAGCTCAGTCTGGATGACTCTGGCTGGGCCATGCCAGGAGCTAACGGGGAGTTTGTCCGTACTACTCCTCCAGAAATAGCATCGATCTCCAGGCTGAAAAGTAGTGCCCCTCGGCGGTCGAGTCCTTCTATTGAGAGCTCGTCGCCACTTCTCGGAGCACTCCGCCTCGATGTACGATGCCATGGCTGCCTTGCGCATGTCAATGATCCTGGCAAGCTCGGTGCCCCCAGTCATGGCTCGAGGTGCCGTCGCCAAATTCGGCGAGCCCCCCTCCAATATTTTTTCTGGTAGTTGAGAGGGTCTTCCAAAAACTCTCTGATAAGGCGTGAAACCCCCACGTCGCACACTTCCTCCAATCGCCACGTTGACTGAGTCGACCAGCTCGTAGAAGTCGTCCCAGTTCTTGGTGTTGAGCTTCTGCCTTGTGCGGTAGAAGGTCTCCTTCCAGGTCCCCCCAGCCCTCTCAGTCTTGCCTGCCTGCCATGGCGAGGTGGCGCTCGTCACCTTCACCTCGGCGCCGTCTCCTTCAGCTGCGTCTGGAAACTCGCCTGTTGAAAAACCTCTCTCGCCGTCTATCACGATGATCCTGGGAGTGTCGTACATCCGCTTCCAGAAAGCACGATAATGTCGTCTGATCTGCTGACCTTGTCTGCTCGGCAGCGGTGCCGCGACTTGGTGCCCCGTCCCGTGACGCACGATGTTGAGCATTGGCACCTTGGTGGTGTTCTCGGGACCTAGAACGAAGAAGATGTCCATACCGATGACGTCGATGAACTGGTAGGTTGTGGGAGCCTTGGACGGTTTGGCCAGCCTGGGACGCTTGTTTGCCTCGCAACTTGGACAGACCAGATGCTGCGCGGCCTCGGTAAAGACCTGGCGAGCCTTGCCGTACTTCAAAACCATCGCCAGATTCTCGTTACTGCAGTGACCCATGTTCTCGTGTATCTTCTGTGCCTGCTGCTTGACATGAGGGTCCGTGCTCCTCTCGTCCTTGTTGTTGGAGACGGGCGCTGTACAACAAGACGCACACTGCAAGCTTGAATTTTCTTCGTCCATCTTCGTCTCGACGGTCGCCAGCTCGCTCATCTTGGCCTTCGCGATAGCTCGTGCCAGAGCTCCAGTAAGCTCCTGCAGAGGTATCGGCACGTCCCCCAGCTTGTTCTGCTGAGAGCCCTGCACGAACTCCTAACTCAGCATCTTCCCGTACTCTGATGCCTGGCCAGGTAGGTTGGTCAAACAGGCCCGTCCTCGTGCATTAGCCTTCCCCGAGAAGACCTCGGGAAGTCGCCTCAGCTTCTGGATGAGTGGGTCGTCCCATTCTCGGGAGCTCTCCTCCTGCTCGTAGTAGAAGTACCTGCCGTCAATCGCCTGCTGGATCGCCATGTCCGACGTGAAGGTCGTCACGTCCCTGTCGATCTTCTTCTCGAGCTTCTTGTTGTAAATATCCTTGGGCGGCTTGATGATCACGAGTAGGGGACTCGCACTCTTGGTCATGTTCTACGCCATGTCCTGCCACGACTATCACGGCTTCTGCGCTGTAGTTTCGTGTAAGGGAACCCCGCCAGTCTCCATCATATCGTCGTCATCGTGAACCTGCTCGTCTAGCTGGCCGAGGAAAGCGGTGCACTCTGGAATCGCGTCCTCCATGGCCTCCCTCATTTTGTCCGTTTTGCCTAACTCCTTGAGCGCCTTGCTGATCTTCCGCTCCTCCTTCTCGGTCAGCTCGTCTACTGGTCGCTGATGTCCGCCCCGAGGTGGCCGCGCAGGTTCTCCACCAGCTGGTTGGTCGTTGCGTTGGCGTTCTCATCCTGCAGCAGCTCGTTCAAGGCGGTCAGAGCCTTGCTTCGAGGTGACTGGTCCTGCACGTCCTCGTCCAGCGTCTCCCACTCCTCCTGCTCGGCCGTCTCCGTCAGACCCTCGATCTGCTCCTCCGGCTCTGCAGTTGGACCTCCCGGCTGCCTCGAGGTCGATATGGCTCCCGATCGCGGTCTCATCTTGGCCCTCGGCGCGCTGCTGCGTGTCGAAGGCTCTTGTGGAGTTTCCGACGAGGTCCATGCTTTCGGTGCTCGAGGTTGCCAGCCCTCGATCTCCGCCTCCAGCATCTTGCACTCCTCGAGCTGCTCGCAGATCTCCTTCATGTTGGGAGCTCCATTGGGGTAGAACTCCACGTGTAGCCTGCATCCGCTGCACTGTGCTTGGGGTCGTGATCTCTGGCCCTCGTGCCCACAGCAGGGGTCCGAGGTTCTTGGTTCTCCGCGCCGTAGTAGCGACACATCATCACTCCTGTGGGCGGTCGGCTCTCCGAGCTGACCTCGTGCCAGGGCCACTTGAACTTCGGCGCCGTCGTCTCGGCCTGGCTCTTGTTGGCGTCCGACTGCCGCTCCCTCAGCGGCGACACCTTCTGCTGCATGAAAGAGGACGAGTGCTGCGAGCGCTCGTCGCATGACATGGAAATATGGAAGTACATCCGAAGACGTTCTGCGAGTTCGGCTCGAGCCTAACTGCTGGCGGAACTGGACGATGTTGTCATTTATGTTGTCCAGGTGCTTGTTGTTGATGCGGTTATCTTCATTTATGCTGTTCTCGGACCTGCTATGGATGCTGCTCACGGCGTTTATGTTCTTCACGTGCTTGCTGTTGGTGCTGGTCCAGTGCTTGTTACTGTCGGTTCTCTGCATGTTAACTTGAACCTTCTGTTTATGCCTTCCTCCTGATAATCCTCCTCCTTGCAGTAGTCTTGCTATTTGTGCTGCTTTTTGTCTGGCGTTCGCTGCTGTCCCCCTGCTTTATGCCCGTTGTTTTGTTCAAACTTCAACACTTGAAAACATACAGCCTCTTTCCTTCTGATCCTCGCTGTCGTTTACGAGGTCCTCGGAGATGAGGAAGGTGGAGGGATGCTTATACTCGGTCCTGGAACTGAAATCCATAGAAACCTCCTTTGTGCAGAGTGTCCAGCCTTCAGGCTTGCTCCACGGTCTCGTGAAGTTATCCAGCTGCAGCAAAAAGTGTTCCCCTCCAGCGTGTGCCCAGGGGAGTCGCAGGCTCTGCTCAGGCAGATCCAGCTCCGACTGAAATGCATGGAGGGACGCCTTCAGCTCCACGACAAATTTCTTAGACAACAAAAGCGGGGCCGCTCCCTGCACCAATCACACAAAAATGATTCCGACAATGTCGCCCAGCATGATCGGGATGATCACCCCGTCCGTCGCCGTGCAGATCTGGTCATTGCCGAACCTGTACTTCTTATGGTACGGGATCGTCTGTAGCGTGATGCCGTGCTCCTTCTTGTAGCGTGCCCCCCACCCCGCGTAGGTGTCCAGCCCCATCATGTTGATGCCACAGGCCGCGTCGAGTGCCCCCCAGCCTGGCTTGCCCGACGTCTTGATGTCGATCGCCAGGTTGATGTGCTCTACTAGGTTCGGCCTTGACGCCATCTTCGCCTCTGTCGCAATGTAGCTGAAGATCTCGTCGTCCTGCAGCACCGTCGTCGCAATGAAACCTCCCGTTGGCTTGTTCTTATCCTTCGGATTGTCGGGACACTCTCGAAGCCAGTGTCCAACCTTCTTACATATGCCGCACTTCGTGCGCTTCTTGATGTCCTCTATCTTGTCGTTGAGCTTCTTGCCGCCCTGCAGGTTGCGGAACCCCCGATTGGTCTTCTTGTCCGCCACGGTCCTCCGATCCTCGCCCCACGTCCGCGGCTTCGTCGGTGGTGGGGCGGTGGCCGCGAGGCAGCCGAGCGCCTCGACCTCCGTGAGGATCCGTTCTCCATCGTCAGCTGTTTCTTGTCCGTCGGGTGTTCCATCGTCGTCGATCCCGAGCAGGTTGGCCATCGCGTCGTACAAAGCACTCTCGGTTTCACCATCCTCGGACATCAGGGGCTCGTCCTCGTCAATCCCCTCCAAAATATGCCCCTTTTGTCGGTGTGCTCTTCTCGATGACCGCGCTGTCGTCCGTCATCCGCTTCAGAATCGAGACCAGCTTGTTGGCGTTGTAGTCGTAGCCCGTCTGGATGAGAACCTGGTTCCTTTCCGTCTTGGCCAGACCCGCTCCTCTCAATAGCAAGAAACCCATGACCGTGTCGTTCAGTGCGTTGGGGAGTAGCCGTCATAACTCTTTCTGCTCTGCTCGTACTCGATTGGTGAACTTCATCAGCGTCTCTTCTCTCGCCCTAGGAGCCGCGAAGAGAGTCTTTTCCAGCTGCTGGAAGGTCTCCGCGTCTGCCTCTGGGAACGCCAGCGTGTCCAGTGCCAAAATGACTGCTTGTAGACCACCTGCGTACTGTACCGAACCTGGTCGTAGGTGCCGTGTCGCAGCCGCCGCCTCCTTGGTCAAGTGCAGCAGCAGGGTCTCGCCCTGCTCCTCAGGCGACACTGCCGTCAATCTGCTCCATCTGTCTATGGCCAGCCGATTCTCTGGCCACTCGCTGAGGTCCTTTCCATCCCAGGTCGGGCAAGGTGGGTCTTTTCCTTTTCGGCCTCCACGTCGCTGGTCGTGTTGCTCGTGCTCCCCGCCCGACTCGAGTCTTCCGTGCACCTCTGCCATCATCTTCTTCACCTGCTCTGGTGTGCCGGACCCTCTCGACTGCACTGACTTCTCTGAGTCCGTCTCGGAGCCGCCTGGGCAGCCCTCACCTTTCAACTCGTACTTGCCTGCCGAACCCCCGAGTCGTCGTCCTCGCTTGGCCACCTCCAAGCACCCCAGTTGGACATCTGACTCCATGTTCGATCCCAGGATACTGAGCAGTCGTTCCACGTCTTCCAGGGGTCCTAGGTGTCGCCCTTCATGCTGTCGTGCTGTCCGCTTCGCTGCCCTCTCGTTCTCGACTGTGCCCATCTCAGCTTCTCCCCATCGCCCTCATCATTCTCCTGAGGTCCGTCTTCGACACGCTCCCACGTAATATCATCAAGATTGCCGTCGTAGCCGTCGCTCCGCTTACCACATGTGGATGGTTCCCAAGACATCGTAGGTCGCCAAGATATCTGAAACAATCTGAAATACTCTGAACGAGAGGGAAAGATAGCAGACACCTTTTCAGTACATGACAAGCTGCACTCCTGGAAGGGGGTCGACGGACCCCCTTCCCCTTGAACCCAAACGGTTAAGGAAAAGGGGTCTCGGGTTCTCAGTTAAGCACACATAGCACTTGAAAGCGCTCCCTGCGCTTTCAGATTCACAGTTCCAGCCGCCAAGTTCTCAGCTGCCTCGTGCTGCGCCATCCCAGTCCATGGGCTCGCGCGCCTCCACGAATCAACGGGGAGGTCTTGGCCGTCTGGGGCCTCCTGGGGTCCCTCACCGGGCTCAAGGACTGTCACAGAACGGCTCTGGAGGAAAAGCTGGCCCCAGGGACGACAGAGCTCATGGCGACGACCAACCCAGGCCCCCCTCCAGTAAGCACTCCTTGGCAAGGTTTCCTTCAGTATGGACTCTTCAGTGAAGATTCCTGATGTTGACGGAACGATCCACTCGATGTCAACCGTCACCGTCGCACGGCTAAAGCGCGACATGCTCACAACCGAACGAACAGAACATCGAAAGTTCGAAAGCGGAACTCTCCCCTGTCTGGGCCAGGCAGGGGAAGGCTTCTGCTTTCGATGTTGCGGCCCTCCGCGAGGAGCTCGAAAATATCGGAGAGCTGGATTTCGTTGCCACTGGCTCGAGCTGCCGCTGCCTTGGCTCGGAAGCGCCTTGTTTTCCGAGCGGGCCTCATTGGCGCCTGCGCCGTCGGGGCCACAATGAAAACGGCAGTGGCGCACATCCTTGTCAGCACGGGGCGCGGGAGGACCCTGCCGAGTCCCTTCAGGAGCGCAGCGCAACTGTCGCGGACTCTGGCCTCTGCAAGGGCACCCGGGCAACATGGAAGACTCTCTGATCTCGGAGCCCACGGTAATAGAAGAACAAGGATGATGGGAAACATCGGCGATGATGATGCTGATGCTGATGTTGATGCTGATGTTGATGATGACGATGACGATGATGCTGATGATGATGATGACGATGCCGATGCCGATGCCGATGATCATGATGCTGATGATGATGATTATGATGATGATGATGATGATGATGATGATGATGATGATGATGATGATGATGATGATGATGATGCTGACGATGATGATGACGATGATGATGATGATGATGTTGCTGATGATGATGATGCGGTTGACGGTGGTCCTTCGTCTGACATCCTGAAAGCGGGACTTCGCGGAACATGTTCGCAATGCATGCATGCATACATACATACATGCATGCATTCATGCATACATGCATACATACATACATACATACAGAGCCAAGCATCCGGAGGAACGCGTCGGCAGAAGAGCGCCCGACTTTGAAGCAGAAAACGTGAGCGCCCGACCGTGAAGCAGAAAACGGGAAGCGTGGATTTTGAAAACCGATATGCTCCACGGCGGGATTTTGTGGTGCCGCGCTTTCGCAAGGTGGCGTTATCAATTTGGGGAGGCATCTCGGGATCCCGCGAGCCAAGGCCCTAGCGCACCCGTCCTTCTGCTAGGATTCCAAGCCAGACATGCGACGCCCTACTCCTTCTCCCTCCATCCTTCCTCCAGGCTCGATGTTCGAGGTTTTGGAGGGCTTCGGTTCGGCTCTCTTTTTGGCCCTCCGGAGGCCCCCAGGGGCTTTCAGGCACTTCCAGGCCAGGGGCTGCGGGGCCGAGCCCAGACATGCGACGTCCTGATTTATTCACTGCGGGATCCCTGGACGTCCCGACCCGTTCCCCGGGACCCGTTTTTCATCCTGAGCTGCTTGTTGACGGCCCCGAGGCTCGGCGAGGGCCCCCCGAGGCCGAAAACGGCCCCAAACCTCCCGTCATGATTCTTGAACGATCGATTATGTCTGGGAAGGCGAGTGCGAGGGATGGGCCGACTGCGCCAGGGGACCTCACGGGAGTTGGCTCTCCACGCGCAGGCTCTGGCGCAGCGCCCTGCCCGCGCCCCGCAGCCCACGTCAAGATTCACAAGCTGAATCAGAAAACGGCTCAAGCGAGAAATCCTTATGAGAGGTTCTGGTGGCAGGGGTTCCCTCGGGAGGAGTGAGGAGGGGGGGAGAACACCGTGATCGGAAGCGGTTCCAGGAGGAGATCAAGAAGGGACGCCATCGTGAAAATCTTACAGAAGCTGGCCCCCGTTATGCCCTCTAACCCTTCCTCTTCCCCCCAGACTCCATCGCATCGTGAAATAATCAGGACGGGAAGTTCTTGGCCATGTATGGGAGCCGTCGGCGGGCCCCAGGAAAGTCACACAACGACGGCTGATGGCGAAGACGAGCCCAGAGACCCCGTTCAGTAAAACATCCTGCTGAAGGATTTCTTCAGTATGGGCTTCTCGGTAAGGGCTCCTTAACAACAAATCCTTATGAAGGACTCCTCGATAATAGAAAAAAAAATACATTGTGCTAGGAAGCGGTGGGGAGGAGAGACGTGGAAGATGAGGAGGAGGAGGAAGAGGAAGGATGTCATAGTGAAAACATCACAAACGCTGGCCCGCGTTGTGCCCCCTAACTCCTCTTCCTCCCCCTCAGACTCCCCTCGAGTCGTGAACAGAAATCACGACGGGAGGTTTTTGGCTGCGTTCGGCCTCTAGGGGCCCTCGCAGGGCCCCAAGACCGTCGCAAGACGACTCGGGATGAAAAACCGGTCCTGGGGAAGTGGTCTATACCTCCAGGACTCCCCGTCGCGAAACATCACGGCGTCGGAATTCTGAGGATGTCGAAGACGAAAGCAGATCTCCGACAATTCGGGCGGCTGGTAATGGGGGGTGGTGACCTCCCAATGGAGGTGAAGGAGAGGACCCTAAAGGGCCCCTTAAGGGCATTTTTTTCACCCCCTATTCCCAGACCCCACGTCGTGTTATTTTCACAAAGTCGACCCCCAGAGGTCTGGACCCCTTCCCCGGGAGTAGTTCTTTATCTGGAGTCGTCTTTTGACGGTCCTGAGACCCGTTGGGGGCCCCCGGAGGCCGAGAATAGCGAAAAACCTCTCGTCGTGATTTTGTCACAGCGCGAGAGGGGGTCTGGGTTGAGGGCCGTTTTGTTCACCCCTCCTTAGGGCCCTTTAGGACCTTTTCGGGCCCTTCGGGTTAGGTCGGGCATATCCACCCACAGGAGATTTTGAATGACAAATGATACCCCCCAAATATCCTCCAACTGGTCAAGAAATAATAAAAAGATCGTCCCCAGACTATTTTCTGACTGTTATTGAATATTCCTCCTGTGCAGGGACAGGCCCGACTTAACCTTAGGGGGTTTGTTCCTCGATCTCGGCCCGCGGGGGCCGTCTGCGAGCCCCGGGGCCGCCAGGAACGGATCTGAATCTGGTGCGAGTCCGGACCCTCGTGGGCCGCGGGCGGGCGAAAATCCCGGCGGCGGGTCGGGGAAGGAGGAGGAGGAGGAGGAGGAGGAGGAGGAGGAGGAGGAGGAGGAGAAGGAGAAGTTATTCAGAAGGAAAAGGAAAGGAGGAGGAGGAGGAGGAGGAGGAGGAGGAGGAGGAGGAGGAGGAGGAGGAGGAGCGTCCCCGAAGCGTCCCCGAAGCGCTCTGGAGCGATTTCTTACTCCGGCGTTTTCTTATGCGGCGTTTCGACATTGGGCGGAAGGGAAGGGGAGGGGGGAGGGCTGGCTCCAGACCTCTGCTTAATGCGACTGTTTGCAGCAGGGCGTCTTACGGGGGAGACTCCACCTGCTCGAAACAGGCGCCAAAAACAGCCAAGATCTACTACTCCATAGGGGGAGAGGGTGCGAGGGCCCGCGCCGATCGGCAAAACAATGGATAAGAAAACGACGACTTTGTCATGATCTCAGGCCTGTCTGAATAACGTCGACCCATATAATAAGGACGCACGACAAGGATGCATGGGCCTTGGAAAGCAAGGTCGACCCTTCTCGAGCGGGGCGCGGCCAGCGACGTCGTCGTCGTCGTCGTCGTCGTCGTCGTCGTCGTCGTCGTCGTCGTCGTCGTCGTCGTCGTCGTCGTCTTCGTCGTCGTCGTCGTCGTCGTCGCCGCCGCCGCCGCCGCCGCCGCCGCCGAGTCGTTTTTGACGGCCCCAAGGCCCGGTGAGGGCCCCAGGAGGCCGCGAGTTGCTCCAAGCCTCCCGTCGTGAGTCTCGAGGCGCCCGTGGCCGAGGGTTCCCCGGCGGCCTTCGGCGGCCTGCCGCGGCTGCGCCTCCGCCTCCGCCTCCTCTGGCCGCTGCGCCCACGGGGCCGCCTGCGAGGTCGCGGGGCCCATACCCGCAGAGGGTGCAATCCCAGACATGATCGCGTCGTGAAACATCATGGCGGGAGGTTTTTGGCTGTTTTCGGCCTCGGGGGACCCTCGCCGGGCCTCGGGACCGTCGACAAAAGCGACTCAGGGGAAAGGGGTCGGGACTTCCAGGGGCCCCGTATTGAAAAAATCAGGACGTTGCATGTCTGGGATCAAATTCCCCCTCGTGGCATCAAAGCTCGCCATGGTAATCGTGACCGCCCCCCTGTAGGCTGACCCTCAACAGACACATGAAGAATATACCCTGAGATCCTGTTGTCGGAGTTCTGGTTCGCACTCGGCGATGTCGCCCCGTTCTGGGTCTCGGGAATCGATCTGACTCGAAAAGTGCAGCAGAAACATTGGGTCTAAGGCTCTGGTCGTGATTCTTTGCGATGTTGCAAAGAGTGCGGAACACGGCGGTCAAGTTGGGCCAGTTGACCCAGACATCGAACGACCTGAACCCATCAAAACTGTTTTTTTCCCAACCACCCTGTGGTGTTGGGCCCTCGTTTTGAAGAGACAACGCCCCGCGTTACTCCTCCCGCTGCCCTCCCCTCTCCCCTAATCTCATCATCATCATCATCATCATCATCATCATCATCGTCATCGCCATCATCATCATCATCATCATCATCATCATCATCATCATCATCATCTTTACCATCATATTCACTTTCATCTTCATCATCGCCATCATCATCATCGTCACCATCACCATCATCAGCAGCATCAGCATCAGCACCAGCATCATCATCAGCATCATCGTCAGTATCATCATCATCAACACAATCAGCATCACCCTCACCATCACAATTTTTCATCGGCATATGGGGCTGTGATGTTACGGACAACGACTGCATTCAGAAACTCGAATCGGCGTTGTCGGTAGTTCACAGTGAAAGACATCTGGAACCCGCCGCCAGGAGATGATCCCCTTAGTGCGTGTGGCGTGCGGGCACGGTGCTCACTCCAGCGCGTGCAGAAGGGCGAAGGCGTGCCCCACGGCGACAGGTTTTATCCAAACAAAAACTCGGCGGCCTCTAGATCGGCTCCCTCGTCTGGGAGCTCTGGGAGACCCTGGGGTTCGTTAGTACCACCGTCTTCGAAATCAAGAGATAATTGGGGAGGGTCGGGAGGAGGAGTGGGGATGGCACTGGCGAAGATCTCGCCAGGAACGAACCGAATCACTTGGCTAGCGCATCTAGCCACACGCTCAGCTCCTCCCCCAGCCACCCAGGAGGGGCGATCCCCAGGTGGTGCGTGATACTCCCCTCGGCCTTGATGGCGGCGACGAGGTGTCGTCGTTGCATTTCTCGATCTCGAGCATGGTGATCTGTTCCTCGAGGAGCTCTTTCGTGATGACTGCGGCCGTGTCCTCGCGCGGCTGGGCCTTGTCTAGGTAGTCGTGTAGGTTCTTCTTGTTGCCGCCACCGATGTCGAGCGTGCACAGGGTCTCGACTAGGCGCAGGGCCAGGCTGGCGGTCGGGCTGCCCACGGTCTTCAACTCTAGCTTCTGCTCGGCGGTTCCGTGGCGCAGCTTGTCGAGTTGAGCCTTGTAGTTCTCGGGCTCCGAGGTCAGGGTGGTGACGATCTTGCGGTCGCGGGCGAACGTGAATGTGTCCAGCGTGGCGGCGCTCAGGATCCGAAGACGTTGGGCGTTTATCAGCGTCATCTTCAGGATTTCCGTGAGCAGCTCGGTCAAGTTCTTGTCTCGGCTGGTCCACGTCTTCTGCGTGCGTTGTCCTCGTTGGCGTCGGCCCCCTCGTCGAACTTTCCTTTTTCGGTCTCCCCCCTGGTCGTCGTCGTCCACCTGCATCCCGTCCTTGGTCTCCTTGTCCTTGTCCTTCGCGGCCCCGTCCTCCCCCGTCTGCTTGGCCTGCGGCCTGTCGGCGCTGGCGGCGCTGCCAGAATTCCCAGACACCTGGGGGGATCCCATCGGGAGGCGCCAGCTTGCTCTGGTCGGCGCTGGCAGTGCAGCTGCTGCCGCCGCCGTCATCTCGTCGTCGGAGGGGCGCGGGGGCGACTGGAGTAGTTGTCACCAGTTGTGGAGCGTTGGCCAGGTAGGATGCGGTAGTACACGCTGTGGTAGCTGTCGGGCGCGGTCGCAACGGTCGTGCTGAGGTCCTCGGCCCAGTAGAAGCCGGGCGGCTGTGGTAGGCCACTCGGAGCTGGTCTCGTAGTTCGGCGGCATCGCCAGGCACCCACACCGCCTTGCGTTTCTCTGAGAAAGGACGGGATATATGTGCAGGGACCTGGTGCTGCTGCGGAGTGTCCTTCACATGTACAGGCTTGAGCCTAGGCCCAGACGGCGTCGGAGGGGTATGATCGGCGAGGTGTCGTCGGAGTTCTCGGAGATCGTGATGAGTTTCATGGCACTCGGGTCGGTCGCTGATGTTCGCTAGAGGGCATCGAGTCGCACTTGGCGGTTTCCATTCGCACAGGTGGTACGTGAGTTCAGGGGTGCATCTGTTCGCTTTCCTGGACCTCTGAAGACGACGTCGGCACTGATCGACGCATGAGAAGATGGTATTGCAGCATCGGCGCATGTTGTCGGTGGTGATGGCGTTGATGATGGTGGCGCGGCCATGACCAGGTGCGGATAAGTGAGTCTGATGAGTAGCAAGACGATGGACGGTAGAGAACCTCGCTCGACAGCTTTCGATCGTGCATCTGAACGGGGCCAGCAGCTCCGTCTCGCTGTCTGCGTCGCCCATCTCCTGGTCGGCTGCGGGCACGTCCTGTGCTATCGAGCCGCCCGGGGCCCATTGGCTGCTCACGTATGTGCTGCGAAAAAGGCGCATGTCGCATGCAAGAAAGGCCTGGCGGACGTGCTCGCCACGAAGAAGAGCATCCACGGTCGGAGGGTCCCATGGGGTGGTCCATCAGTTGGCGTAAGTCATTGAAGTAGGGCGGCACATGGATGTACACCTGCGTCAGCATGGAGTTGGTTGTTTCGTAGTGGTGGCGTCGACGCTGGGCGTCCATGTGCTCTAGCTTTGATCTCAAATGTGTAGTCGCCCAGGAACGCTGCCAGAAATTGAGCGTGGTGGTCGGGGTCGGAGAGGATAGCTTTCCACCAGTTGAGTCGCTTGATCATGAGTTCCACTGCCGTCGGTGCGAGTTGCCATTCACGGAATATTTGATCAGTCGTCCAACTGCGATGCGTGCCGTCCTTTCGTTCTTGATGTGCTTTCCCGAGCAGCATGGCACGCATCTTTCTTGCAAGGCAAGCGTCGAGCTTGTTGTACTCGGTCGATGTCCGCACATATGACTCCATGGCGGGCCAAGCACGTCCAGCCGCGTTAGTGATAAAAGCGCCGCGCTTATATCTCCAAGGGCCAGGACTAGTCCAGTAGTTCCCCAGGCGTGTCCATCCGATGGCGGCGGGCTTGATGCGTCCTCGTATCTCCGTGTAGTTGGAGCCTGTCGGAGTAATGAAGCCGCCGAGGTGGATGAGGCTGTGCACGCTGGTGCCTGCGATGCGGTGCTCGATGTCACGAGTAACTCGGGCGTTGGTGGTGTAGACGAGGGTATCCTGCTTCTCCGCGTTCTGACGGTGGCCCGTCATGTGAATGTACTTATTGAGTGTAACGTTGTCTAGGTAGTCGACGGCGAGCGCCCATCGTGCTTGTGGTGGGCCTTCAGGTAGGACGTAGGTGCGAATGAGGCCGTCGACGAAGGCGCCCATGGTGATCTGCTGCTTCGTGTGCGTGATGGGGCACTCCGCGGCCAGGTCGTCGGTGGTGAGCTCCGTGGTTTCGTCCAGCCAGGCTTCGACTCCTCGATGGAACGCCGCCATGAAAAGCTCGGGTTCGTTGCCATCGCCCATTCGTCCTCCCGTAGTTGGTCGTGCGGATGCCTGGGCGTCGCTGGCGTCAATAGCAAGGACTGCGTGTTCTCGATGTTGGGTGAAGAGCTCGTCGACGTGTTCGTCGTCGGTGCGATCGTAGTGAGCCTGAAAGAGGATGGAGTGATCACCTGCGGCGAAGGCGTTGCGCATGTCGTAGGCCTTGACGATGAAATTGCGCTCGGCCGCGCGGGGCCGCCACGTGACTACCTTGACCAGGAGCATTCGTTCTTCTCGTCGGCGTTGTCGGATGCCGCCGCACCCTCAAGGTGGGGCTTGGAATGGTCCCCCATAGTCGCAGAGGCCCACTCGTAAATATATACACGCCACCAGTGGCAGAAGCAGTGTAGGAGTCTGAGGCAGTGGTTGATGTCGTGGATTTCGTCGCCGCTGGGTTCCTTGTTCTTCCCGATCGTGACTACCTGGCTGGTTGTCGCCTGCGCTGGCAGCGCGCGGGAGGCGCGGACGTGGGCCAGGGGCGACGCGAGGATGATGTGGCGGGCGTTGGCTTCTTCAAGCGGTATGTGGCAGCGAGGGCGTCGGGCAGGTGCGTCGGCTAGTGCGAGTTGGCGGACTTGATGGTAATGCTGGTCCTCGCGCCCCGGGCTGATGGTCTCCGTCTTGGGCTTGGTGAGGTACTGCGGGTCGAAGAGGAGCTGTGTGACCTCGCCTGGCCATGACCAGCCAGGGTTGTATCGTCGATGTCTGTTGGTCCAGATGCGTTTCTTCATGTGCCCGAGGTCCTCCGCGGCGTTGTCGACGTCGGTCATGGTGGCTCCGTGCTGGACGGGGCCGAACTGGACGATGTCCTCCACTGGTGTGAGCAGGAGTTTCTCGGTGGAGGCGTCACGTAAGTATGTGCTGGTGGGGAATGAGGCGGCGCTCATTCCTCCCTCGGTGGCGGGCTTGGCGAGTGGCGTGAGAAAGGCGTGTCCTCGTGGTCGAACTGCAGCGACAGAGAGGTAGCTGCGCTTCTTGATGCCAGTGCGCGTGCCAGCTCGTAGTCGTGCGAGATGTCCGGCACGTGCGAGGTCACGGACGGCCCAAGCCTCTCGAAGCTGATCGTCCACAGACGTGCGCCACCAGTAGTTGTACCAGCGTCGGAAGGACTTGAGTTGTTGGGATACGCGGTGGAGGTCGGCGTGGTAGAGGTCGTGGCCAGCTTGGGTTAGTCCGCGTTCACATAGTTGTGCTCGTTGTCGAAGTAGTTGTGCGCGTTCGCCTCTAGCCACGAGGACCCATTCTGGTGTATGACCTTCACGGGTAAAGTACTTCTTCGCAGTAGTCTTGATGATGTACCCGACCACTGCTGCATGTCGTGCCGGCGTAGCGTCTGCAGTGCGGCGGGTGAGGCGACCTCGATGTTGATCATACTGTTCACGTGAGTCTTGGAAGAATTCCCGTTTTGGGTGTCCTTGTTGAAGACACGCAGCGAGCATGCCCCAGTCCCACCTAGGCTGGTCAGGGTCTCGATACTGTTCTGGAGCCGAAATGCGCACTTCCATGATCATCGGAACGGGGTCAATGACAGGGAGAGTACGTAGCCGATGGGAGGCGTGCCACCCCACCACCATGCGAGTGATGACAAACTTGAGGTTGGTGGGGGTGACGTAGTAGTCGATGCGGCTGCTTGGTCCATGATTACCGTAATAGCTGGGCCCGAGGTTCCAGAAGCTAGTGACCGCGCTGAGCTCGTTCTCGATCATGTCCGTGTGTATGCGCTGGGCGAGGTCATCCTCGGGGCCCGCTTGATATGGGCCGATGCTGGCGTCTGCGTTGGAGTGAGAGCCACTGCGCCCAAAGCGCATGTTCATGTCACTAAACATGATCGGTGCCGTGCGCTCTGGAGTCGTGGCGAACTGATGTAGTATCCATCGCCACAGCTGGAGGCATGTCTTCTTCCAGAAGTGGTGGTCCTTGGACAGGTGGGGACGTGGCGGGAAGTTACCGTACTCGATGTGGTCCTCGTTGGACGTCGATGCGCCCAGCTCGTCCTTGGAGGTGTGGTGGGGCAGACACTACACGTATGATATTGCGTTCTCTGTCGAGACGTCGCGATAGTCCGATGCTGCAGCCAGCGCTCGCGTTGGTGCCCGCTGCTCGTGTCCAGCCAAAATGGATACAGTAATGATGCTGCGTCCGTTCTGTATGATGTGGAGTGCCTGCCCTACTTCTGATCTTGGTGCCTGGGGCCAGAATCGCATCCATGTTGCGAAACTCCATGCTGACGGCCTCCAGGCGACCCTCGTGGCTGAGGAGGCTGAACGGGTTCCAGCCGACCAGCGAGGTGCTGCGCAGCGGCTTGGTGGCATATTCGTCGGCGGTCGCCTCGGGGCTCGCCATGCGGACGCACAGCGCGAGAAGCACCCCGAGCATCCGCACCGCCATTGCTCACCGCATCTCCTGGAGCGAAACTGCTGGGACGGAGACGGGCGACGAGTGGGCGGAGGCCACTGCGCCTGGGCGGATCTGAGCAATCCGTGGCCTTCACCATCACCATCACCATCACCATCACTATCACCATCATCATCATCATCATCATCATCATCATCATCATCATCATCATCATCATCATCATCATCATCATCATCATCATCGTCACCATCATCATCATCGTCGTCATCATCCTCATCCTCATCCTCATCCTCATCCTCATCCTCATCCTCACCACCATCATCATCATCATGATCATGATGATGATGATGATCATCATCAGCATCAGCATCAGCATCAGCATCAGCATCATCATCATCATCATCATCATCATCATCATCATCATCATCATCATCATCATCATCATCTTCAGCATCATCATCATCAGCATCAGCATCAGCATCAGCATCAGCATCAGCATCAGCATCAGCATCAGCATCATCATCATCATCATCATCATCATCATCATCATCATCATCATCATCATCATCATCATCATCATCATCATCATCATCATCGTCATCATTCGTTTCAGCATACTCCTCACACGGTTCGTGGCCCCATAGGGAGCTCCACCGAAGGCCCCAGTGGCAGGGTTCGCATGCAGTTCCACCCTCATCAAGGCGCACTCCTCACACGGTTCGTGGCCCCATAGGGAGCTCCACAGAAGGCCCCAGCGGCAGGGTTCGCATGCAGTTCCGCCTTCATTTCGGCGCACCCCTCACACGATTCGTGGCCCCATAGGGAGCTCCACCGAAGGCCCCAGTGGCAGGGTTCGCATGCAGTTTCACTCTCATCTGGGCGCGCCCCTGACACCGTTCGTGGCCCCATAGGGGGCTGCACCGAATGCCTCAGCGGCAAGGTTCGCATGCCCAGCGAGGGCCCCCAGAGGTCGAAGACAGCCAAAGACACGTCATGATCTTTTAGCGACGCGGGCCCGGGGCGGTCGGGGAAAGTGAGGGGTGGAGGAGGGGGAAGGAGGACAAGGGGAGGGGGCAGCAAGAGAGGATGAAGAGACGGGTGGACGGGGCGTGCGCGCGCCCGGGAGCGCTCAGGTCCAGAGCAGAGCGCCTGTGGAGGGCCAGGCTTGGAGGATGCCCCAAGGCCTGCGCTGGCTGCCCGACCTCGGGCTCCCCCGCCGCGGCGCCGTCCTTGAGCGACGCAGGGCGCCCCCCCGACAATTGGCACCAATATGGGCCCGAGTTGTCCAGGACCTCGTGTCATGCAGACCGTCAACGCATGGAAACATCAAGACGAACCTTGTGCGTTTCTCCCGGCCTCTGGGAACCCCCGCCGGGCCCCGGGACCGTCAAAACGATGCGGGACGAACAGCTGGCCCCCAGAAAGTGGTCCATGGCTCGGGGGACACCATAATGAAGAAACCAAGGCGTAGGAGATTTGGCTGTGGGAAGAACTGCCAATCGAAGAACTACCCCGTCCAACACAATGGCCAAACCCGATCAACCCTCCGGCCAGACCCCCGCCCCCTCCGGCCAACCCTGGTGAGGGCGATTGTTTCCATAAGGTGTATGGGGTACTCACAAGGACACGGGCCGTAAGCATGTCTCATGTTGAAAAAATCCCCCCCCTTCCGAGGCTGGGATTCGCGGTCCCGTAAGGTTTTTCGTTTAATGTTTCCTGCGCGATCCTCCAGCCGTAATTTCAGATAATCGCATGCCCGCCAGCCAAGCTGATATCGACCTTCCCACCGTTTCGTGCAGCAACGTATATGTAGTGCACATATGGTGAAGTAGGAAACGTGCTTTCTAACAATCATCTGCCACAGTGGAAAACATTACGGGGTACATGCGCGCGCGGTCGCGCGCACGACAAAACTAGAGCATTCAGCAACCATGCTCTAGATTTGCACAATAAACAAGACATGTTCAAGGCATGGCTGATCAACAGTTGTCAAACACCGCTGGCGCTACAACGAAACAAACATCTGAAGTCAGCGCGACGTTTTTTGGCAACTCTGTGATGTCAGACCACGCGGGCCACTTGCGCGCGCATGTCGAAAACGTTCAACCACCGTCGCGCGCCCACCAGCTGCGGCAGATGAACCCATGCGGGCCGCACGCGCGTGTCTCCGCGCGAGCTCTTCGACTTCTGTCCAAACCAGGAAGGTTCAGACACATGTCAGCACCGAGGTGTTCCAAACGCATACGAGAACCCAATGGCCTCCAGTAGAAAAAAGCGTGTCACAATAGTCCTTTGCGA